AATTTATTTGATACTGCTCAAGACAAAAGAAAAGAAAGACTTGATAACAAAGAAGATACTAAGAACAATATCAGTTTAGAAGTGGGTAATCCGCTAACTTCTAATACGCTTATGCCTTGTCAAGAGAAAGGGGTAATCCACTCTTACTCAAGAAAAACAAAGCTCTGATATTGTAAGTACACTCTTGTCAATCTGTCAAGGAGAAGAACTCGACAAAAAAATAGTTCAGACAAGTAAGCCTTCACTCAAAGAAAAGTAACAAAATATGAATAATAAGTATGTATATTGAAAAGAAAAACTAGAATGACTATTGCCAAAAGACAAGAAAACTAGAGACCCTTGAAACTAGACTAGAAGCAAGAAAGGAGTTGATAAGAGTGAAGAAGCCTTCACTCTTGTCTCTATATATACTATCTAATTAGGGGCTACATGGCGACGTTCTATAGGACCTCCAATATGTGTTGACTTTGTAGGACACATGCCTTGACTTATAAGGCAAGTTTTTCTACGTGTGAGCCACATAGTTAGCTTGATCTTCAAGCTAACAACATGTGTGGCACATGGCCAACTTGTTGACCACGTTTCTAATCCAAAAAGTCAATTAAAGACACGTATGAAGTCAAAGCAGCATGTAGGAAGTTTTTAGGAAGCTTCTATATTAAATATTATAGAATTAACTTACTTTTATCTACTTTTACTTACTTCTACTTATTTTTATATGTAATTATTAGCTTACATGATTATGGTTGTGACAATTATTTTGAATTTGATTACATTTATTTATCATTATTATAGTCTAATTAGAGCATTGTTAGTATTCTATTAGAATTAGGATTTTGTTATCGCAATTTCTATTCTTCCTTCTACAGCCAGGTGCCTAGAGCATTCTCAAGCAAGACTTCATATATTACGACAGCGGTTATCATATGTTGAGGAAATCTATGATGCAACGAATTGTATTCGCCACATACTCTGATCTTTGTTCTCTTCAAAGATGATTGATAGGGCCTCTCAACCATCGGTAGTATCTCATATCATGGCGAGAAGAACACCTAGTTATTTGATCATTGTTGAGGCCTTCATAACTTCTTTTGAATAGAACATTTGGAACACCATCAGGAGTTGTTCCTACTTCTAGCAAAATCACCAAACATTGGGAGTCCCTTCCCAAATCGTGATACCAAAATCTTAATTTATATTACTATATATATTATTATCTAAACTTGATCTTATGTTAATATATTGGCCTTTATAAAGTGATAATATTAATGTATAATCTAGTAAATTATTTCTTTCAAATGGCAACTTCATCATCTTTGATTCTCCTCTTCTTTTATAATAGAGTGCATTGCGGACTATCTTCAATATTCAAATAGAAACATTGACATGATATAACACAACTAATAGGTGAAAGAGTGTGGAAATTATTATAATGTAGGAGATCTTAGTTCAAAGTATTAGAGCAAATTATCTTTGAAATATAATTAATAGTCAAAAGGATAGTAAAACTAATAGGTACCAATATTGTCTTTGTAGAAAGGTGACTTCTACTTACTTTATAGGACCATAAATAAGGCAAAACAAAGTAGATTGGAAAAATAATTGATATGAGAATCTTAAGAAGGAAGTTAAGAATAAATTTTAGAAAAATTTATTTAGAAAAACTAGATATTGATACCCAGAGAGGGCCGGTTATGAACCAGGATCACAATCAGACCCTGAGGCACAAAACCAAGTCTCATCAACGACTCCAGGCTTCTTTTGCAAATTGGAGAATGGGATTTGATAGCAAACTAGATAAGGTTTCTAATAGCATTGGTTTTGGATGATTTGGAGTTGTTATGACTTTGTAAGAGCTTTACAAAGTTAAGATTGTTTTTGGATGACTTGGATTTTGTGAAATAAAATAGGATTGATATTTCTAGTCATTTCAAGAGTTTTGTGATAGCTCTATAAGTGAACTTTTGTGGATTAATGGTCATAGTTGTGCTTAATATTTATTATAAATTTTAACTTGATCTACTGATTGAATTGAGGATTATTGAGGTTTAAGTAGGTCAAGGTCTAAGAAAGTAGAATTTTAGGTCTAAGGAGGGTTTTTAAGATTTCTTACAATCTATTAGTTGGATTGGAGTGATATTATGTGAGAGGATATAAGACTTGTTTTTCTTTGTGTATGAGAATTTTGAGATCAATCAAACAGTGAAAAAGAGAGATATGGACTCTAGAAGATTAGCATTAAGGTTGGAAAAGGATGTCGACTAATACTTGAGCATGTTTTTGAGGTTATTGTCTATTTGATAATTTTGATCATTTTCAATTTTTTTTGTGCTTATTTTCAATTTATTTTTTAAGAAGTGTGCAAAATTTGAGTTAAGATCAACAGTTCATTCATTAGTTATTGAGGTTTAAATCTATTATAGAAATTACTAGGATTTAGTTATGATTTGGTTTAAGATTTAAGATTTGGTTAAGATTTAGGATTTGGTTTAGGATTTAAGTTTTGATTAGGGTTTGATTTAGAATTTAAGGTTTGGTTAGGATTTGATTTAGGATTAAGATTTGATTAGGATTTGATTTAAGATTAGGGTTTGGTTTAGGATTTAGGGTTTGGTTAGAGTTTGGTTAGGATTTGGTTTAGGGTTTAAAGTATGGTTATGATTTAATTTAGGATTTAGGATTTTATTAGGGTTTAAAGTTTGGTTATGATTTAATTTAGGATTTAGGATTTTATTAGGATTTGATTTAGGATTTGGTTAGGATTTGATTTAGAGTTTAGGATTTGGTTAGGTTTTTATTTAAGATTAGGATTTGATTAGGATTTGATTTAAGATTTAAGGTTTTATTTGAGTTTGTTTAGGATTTAAGATTTAGTTAGTTTTTGGCCTAAAGTTTGAATGAAGTCCAATAGGATTTTAACTAGGATTAAATTAAGATTGAATTGAAATATATTTGAGATATATTTGTGATCATTCTAATATTTCTTTAAGATTTTTTATTATTTCTTTGTAATTTCTTTGAGGTTTCTTTGAATTTGATTAAAGCTTGCTTAGCATTGTTATGATCTAATTAGAATTTAATTAATATTCTATTAAAGTTAGGATTTTGTTGTTACAATTTCCATTCTACCTTCCACAGTTAGGTACTTGGAGCATTTTCAAGCAAGACTTCATGTATTACGACAGCATAACTGCAGATAAGTTCAATAATTTATTTCATAATATTAAAGATTCATAAGTAAGAGAGCCAAGAAAATGAAAGTCTTATACATGAAGTACTTTACAAAGATAATGAAATTATAGAATGTATTAAAGCATCATCTTTAACATCCTTGAGCTTTAATAATGTATAAAAACTACATCATGGTTGAAAATTCTTTTAATAGAAGTTTTTGAAGATTTGAGAATTCACACTTAGCAACTAAGTTTTTGTTTATAAAATGGTATTGTTGATACAATGAACGATCTTGAGGGTGGCCAAGAATTCAACAAAGATTGAGAAAAAATTGTCAAGTTGAATATGTCTTTGAGCTATTATATGTAGCATTGAAAATACTTGCACCAACTTTGTAAACATTACAATATTCTTTCTTAAAATTAGATGTGCATGGCAAAGAATTAAGATAGTTTTGAAAGCATCGATATATTTTGAAAAGGCTTTTGAATTGTGCTTTGAACAAAAAGAAAGGTTTTCTTTTTAATACTTTGATGCTATAAAATAGATTGATTTTTTCTTTGAAGTTTTGATTTATTACAAATAAAGATAACTTAGGAGTTTGGTACACTTACACTTGCTTTTAATCTACTAGAAAGAGCTTGAAGTTTATCTCATATAATTCTTACCAACCACCATTTAAAACTAGATGAAAACCACTTACAGCTTCAAAAAACTTCTCTAGTGAAAGATGATGTTGATACATTAGCCAAGTTTATTTGATCCAAGAAGGCTGGTTCAAACATTTGATCAAGTGTTCTTGTGAATTGATGTGATTACTACGGTGTTGATAGGACAAACTTGACAAGGTTGAAACATCAAATCTTGTATGACTAGGTAGCTCCACAATTATAGAATAAGAATTGTAAGAAAGCTTTGTAGTATGTTGATGCTTTGAGGCAAACATTAGATCATTTGATTACGTCATATTTTGTATTTAGAGCATTAAGAAAATTAAGAAGAAAAAATGATATTTAGTGTGTCCTCTTCATGCTAATTGGTCATGGTAATGACCAAGTTGATGTCCATGTCTAGGCACTAGATGTAGTCATTGAAGAGTGAAAACAAAGTTGATGTCTATGTCTAGACACTAGACATAGTCATTGAGAAATTTGATGGTATTGAAAAGGCATTTTTTGATCTCCTCAAGTACTTTGGGCCATACAAAGAACAGTTCCTTGCAAAAGTGTTTAAGAGCCTTCTTTGGCAAGAGCTAGCTGGAGGCATGAGTAGAGGCACTAGATGCATTAAGCAAGTCAAACAGGCTTTGAGGATTGTCCATTGACAAAAGATTCCAATGGTTGTTGCAGAGAGTGAAGGTCTGGCATTGGAAGATAGATAGAGACTAATGGCACAAGAACCGATACAATTCATTTTTGTTCTTCTGTGGACCAGGTAAGATCCATAACTGTGCTAGGTGAAACTACTTATTACTATCCTATGTGGTTGCATATACATTATTGCACCAAGTGAGTGCAAAACTATGGTGACATTCACAACACACTATGTAGATACACAATGAAAATGTTTCACAAAACAGGGCCGGCTTTCAGGATGAAGAAGAGTGGAGGGATGAATAATAAAAGGAGAAGGATAAGCAGAACAGAGATGGCGGGGAGAGGGAGGCTCATTGCGGCTTCCGGCCCTTCACCCGAGAGAGTGTGCCGTCGAGAGTGGCAGTGCCGCAGCAGCAGATTGTCGATCCCACGCATCGCATCGCATTGCCTCTTCTTCACGACTCCCACGCCCCCACTCACCAGGTAATAATGCTCTCAGATTGCACCCACATCGCCTTCCTCCTCTCCGATCGCCGCTTTCTTTTCATGTCCGCTGTTCGCGTCTTTGTCGATGCTCCTGTGTCCTGGCCATTAGCGCTTGAAATTTGGTTTCATACTCTTTGGTTGTGTGGACTGCGATCAATGTTGGGTAGCTGGAACCCCTTTTCTCTCGCTGGTACTGTACCGAACAGGATTTCGTTTTAGTTTCGCACCACTGCTAACAATTTATTCAGCTTGTGCTTTTGTTCCTTTCGGAATGTCGCACCAGCAAGGAGTTCGCTCCGCCTGGCATGTTTGCGGAGTGGGAACGGAGTTGGCCGAGGCTGGTCTTTCTTTCATGTCTGCTCTTCGTTCAATTGAACTTTGCTTTGAGGGAGACTCTCCGTTTTGGTATTTTAGAACCCCGCTGACATCCATTGTACTCGTCTCGTTTCGTTGGGATGGTTTGTAGCGAGGAGATTGTTCGGGAAGGCATGCTTAGAAGTCGTTGTGGATATTGAAGGGTGTTCCATTTTGTCTCCGCTGTGGCCTTATGCTGAGCGTTAGTAGTTGCATTAGATTCTTTCTATTGCCGCATTGGCCATGGACATGGTGGAATTTTACAGCATAGGCGAATTGCTGATGTTATGCTTTCTGTGAACTTCTGCAATAGCCACAGATGGCGCAAACAATTTCTTAGCAATTCTGCACTTCAAGAAATATTGTTATAATTCAATTTGAAAAATAAATTTATGTTGTCTTTTCCACCTTTTTAGGAATTGTGGAAGTGCTCAGCTTTGGACTAGACGAAGTGAGGCTTCTCCAACATGGGCCTTCATCAGTCTGGTTCGTATCTTTCCTTGGCCAACGGGTCTCGCCATTGTTTCGCCTTTAGCTATAAATTAAGCATTCTTCATTGATTACTGGTGATCCTTGATTAATGTATGTTTTGATGTGCGCAGAGGAACTGGAGTCTTGCTTAGCTGTTGCAGTAGAAGTTGCTAAGAAAGCAGGGCAAATCATCAAGGACGGTTTCCACAGAGCGAAGGCCGTTGAGCACAAGGGCCTGGTAAGCTTTTTTGCATTCTCTTCTTCTTCTTTTTGTGTGTGTGTGTGTGTTCTGTTTTGGTGATGTTTCTGATATTGTTGTTGTATTTCGTTGTTCTTGTTTTCTGGGTGGATTAGCGGTACTTCATTTCCTCTCACGTCCAGAACTGACAGATCAGTATAACTTCCCTGCAGGTAGATCTTGTCACCGAGACGGACAAAGCCTGCGAGGATGTGATCTTCACGCAGCTCAAGGAGTCCTTCCCCTCCCATGAGGTACTGTCACCCATCCCTGCACCTTGTGACTTTCTTTCTGCGAATGCAAGATATTGTTGATGCATATGTTTTCATTTTCTTGCAGTTAATAGGAGAGGAGACTGCTTCCGTAAACGGAATCCCAGTCCTGACAGACTCGCCGACTTGGGTGATTGACCCCCTGGACGGTACCACAAATTTTGTGCACTCATTTCCTTTTGTGTGCGTCTCCATTGGTCTCGTCATCGACAAAGTCCCCGTCGTGGGCGTTGTCTACAACCCTCTTTTAGACGAGGTACGTATTGAAATGATTTCTAGGTTTGGTGGATGTAGTCTGGGAATTATTCCATATTGAAAGCCACTGCCGACAATCTTCCTTTCTTATCAAGATATAAACTCTAAGCCTGAGCTCGTCGTTTCTGAGCGAGTTGGATTTGTATCTCCAGCTCTTCACCGGAATAAAAGGGCAAGGAGCTTTCTTAAACGGACAGCGCATCCATGGTGAGTTGCTCTTAGCACCATCTCTCTGAGGTGGTTTTGATTGCCCACACATTATTATGACTATAGTTTGACTAAGTTCAGATTCTTAACTCGAAGCCATTGGGTATGGTGATTCCAGCTTCAAACCAAGAGCACATAGGAAATGGATTGCTCGCCACTGAGATTGGAGTCAAGCGAGACAAACAAACGGTGGACCGTACCTCTAATTTGATCAACTACTTTCTCTACAAGGTGTGTTAAAACTGAAGTTACTGCTTGCGCTTTTGGTCGATTAGTTTTCAAGCTTTGTGATGGCTAGCTCACATGTCGATTTTCGTTTTCTGCAGGTACGGTCTCTTCGTCTTAGTGGTTCTTGTGCCATGAACTTGTGCGGTGTTGCCTGTGGGAGGCTTGACATGTTCTACGAATTAGGATTCGGAGGCCCCTGGTGAGTGACTCTTGATTGACGTGGAACCCAGGGCCATCGTGGAATCATGACAGTACCTCATGGGAGGGGAAGGACTCCTTGAGCTGCGTGAAGATTATTTTTTTCAGATTTTTGTACTTGTATGCTTTTGACCCTTTCTTTTTCTTTTACTATCATCGTTTTTATAAATTTTAATTTTAGTTTTTCGGAACTGGAATCAGGGATGTCGCTGCAGGGACGTTGATACTTCGAGAAGCTGGTGGGCTCGTCTTTGATCCGTGAGCACTTTCCACACCTTTTAATTGTCACTGAAAATTGCAGTGAACCGGGTGATGCTTACAATAACTCGATTACGATTTTCTACTCCCTTCTTGATTAGTTTATAACTGATGTGAAGGATTGTGTCATCATCCCAACGCAGGTCTGGAGGTGAATTCGACATGATGTCGCATTTGGTAGCAGCATCAAATGGCCATCTGAAGGGTGCTCTTGTGGAGGGCTTGGTGGCTCATATGTGATGGATTAATTCTTATTTTCATTTCTATTATTTCACATCAATAAATTCCCTTTTCAAAGCATATGACCCATCTTTGGCCAGGGGTTGTCTAACATCAAACCTTCTTTTGTATCATACCTTATCAGAGAGATCTGTTATAACTGATCACTTTGATCCCAACTTGAGCTACTACATAGTTAGGAAGTTTCAATTGTGGGTGTCAGCAGGAAAATGAGATCAAGAATGCATTCTACGAGGATAGATACTCATCAATCAGAATCTAGAGAGGACTACGTACTATTAGTCCAGTCACCAGACACAAAACATTAGAGCCCGAGACTCTATGACAAGCTGCGGCCTGATCAGGCTCTTACAAATATCATTTCCGACATCCTCGATCCACAAGTGGAAACCAAATTACTACCTCGCCTGGCGGCCAAACAGATGTCGCTTGAATTACTTAATGACTCTACAATGTACACTTAAGGACTCTAGACTCACACAACGCACCCTTCTTATCTGCTTATCAACCGACAATATGCAACTGAATCTAGCCCCGGAAACGCACGAAGGATAGACGAAAGAGCATCGATCAGACTCTGGTGGCGAAAGTAAACCTGACTCAGAACTAAGTCACCACAGTCGAATCCCGAGGGCGTACAAGAGGGCAGAGAAATAACAAAACTCCTCATATTGCTAGAATCGTAGAGCGACGTGCAGAGGCAATTTCCAGGAAAGCGGTTTAGGGTTAGAGAACCTATGGATAAGGATTCCACGATGGGCCTCCCATGGTTGTGATTTTATTTTATTTTTAATTTTTTTGACACACTAGGGTATACCCAATGCTTAGACTATGTGATAAATAAAGAAAGGTGCCGTCTTTCAAACCTCCACGTCGAGGCTGTCGGTGGAGAGCTCGATGTGCTCATGCTGTGATTGTTGCAGTTGTACGCCGACCACAGAAAGCATGGGGTTGACACCCTTCTCAGAATCCCCTTGGTGGTTGAATAAATTTTCGGGTTTGACAGTGCTGTTTTATCTTTCTCAGTTGCCTCCCATCTTTACTCATATCGTCTTCATTCGTGGTTCAGGGTTCGTTTGTTTTGTTAACGGTTTTTGTCCAGCATCCCGGATGGATTGCTCATTTTGAAACCTGGTTCGATCCACACGTGAGGGTTGTTAGTTCTGTTGTACTGTTCATTGACAGGGTCATGTAAATCCATTCAAGAATCAGACAGTGGTGAATCATGGTTGTGTTTTTTTTTGTTTTTTTTTTTTTTGTTTTGTTTTGTTTTGTTTTGTTTTTTTTTTTTCACTCTTCAGTTCTTTCCCCTAGTTCACTCAGTAGAGATGACATATCCATGCGGCGCATAATTCGGTGGATTGCTGAAAATTCCGCATTAGGCACTTGGACTATGCGAAAACATCTCAAGCTGCCTGTCTGGGACTGTTTCTGCAGCAACTCAAAGCATAAGAAATCATACGGAATCCCAAACCAGGGAGAGACTCCGCATATTTTCTAAACGCTAGTTAAGTAATTACCCGGGGATGAGAGGAGGTTGATCAGTGAATGAAAATCTTGTCATTGTTTGTCACGAGGAAGAGCATGAAGTTTTACATAGAGAGAATCAACCGGAATGCTGATTGATGTTAGGGAAGCTAATGAATCTAGAGTTGATGTCATTGTGATCGAAGGTTCGAACCTGGAGGCGAGACTTCCCAGCACGTGGCCATAAATAATTTACCGAATATCCAGCTTGGTTTTCTACTCAGAATGACTCCACGTCTGAGCCTAATGCAGTTTTCCAATCCATTGATCACAGCGTTGCTCATTGTTGGTGTGAAACCAGTCAGCGCCCCAACCGATCAAAATTGTACTTAAAATTGTACTTGAAATGGAGTAGTATCCGCAAACTATTTGCTGTTGCTGCCTTTTTACTCTCAAGTTGTGATTGATTGCAATTCAAGTTCCTTCATATCCAATTGATTGGTCAACTTTTTCACTTAGGGCTTCAAATTCAACCCATCAATGGTGTTTGAACATCCAAAATCAAGTTCATATTTTACAGCTGTGATATTAAGAATATAGTTGGTATTGACTTCTGCATGGGTTGAATTTTTTTGTAGTCTTTGACAAGATCATTTTGATTGAATATGGAGGTTGTTTACAATATGGTGCAGGCATCTACTTCCTTAGTTGACATCATGTAGTAGTTCCACACACACATCAAGCATTGGGATTCTTACATAATGACAGCCACCTTTAACAGCAACATATTTCTATGCCAATGGAGTTTATGTCTGTGCCAAAGCTTCATTTGTTGCACATATGATAACCACCAATCAATCTCATTCTCATCTGCAGCATGACCAGATCCCAGGAAACAAAGCTTCACATAGCCTCTCATTATTACTTGTCTTTTATTGTGATTGTTGAAGGCTTTATGCTTTGTTGCTTGCATGCATGCTTATAGATAGTGATATTGTTTTTTCAGTACAAGTAGCATTGTTGATGAGGTGGTTGATGAAGATTTGCCTTGCTGGCTTCTTGTAATAAAGAAGCAATTGTCTAAATTCACTAAAATGAGGGAGTGGTTTGCTAAGGGTGTAGTGGATTAAATGGATTGCTGCATGAGCACAAGTATTTGAAAATAACATCCTTATGGCCAAGTTGATTTTTTGTGTAAAATTACAACAAGAGTATGTGGAGTGTTTGAATGAACAATAGTTTGATTTGCATGCATTTGAGGATAAGAGTTTGCACCTTGGCTAAGTTGCATAGTCATGTAGTTGCATTGTCACATGCTTTATTAAGGTATTTTATGATTATATTTTATACTAAGTTTACTTCATAGATTTATACTTGTTCAAGTTTATACTTGATTCATTCTTTCCTATTTTTTTCTAAACCACTCTTGTAGAATTTTGTTATGGTCTAATGTTTATGATATGTGTAATGTAAAAAAATCTTGCTAATTACAAATGATTGTTTTATATATTAGAATATATTGCCATTGCTGAATTAAAGCAATGACTGCTTAATTATATGCTTAAAAATATATATTGTATTGAATCATTTTAATAATTGAGTAACTTATACACAATGAATGTAATAAAGTTTATGAAAATAAAAAAATGTATTTTTTTTGTGTAATAACTTGACTTGCAAGTCTGCGATATGTATCTTCAATTTTGTGCCATCAAGTTTTTATAACAAGTATATAGCATTGTTATGGATTTTCTTTAAAACATATGATCTAAACTAGTTTAAAAAACTTTTGTAATGCACTATGTTAGTTATCTAGACTATTATAATAAAGCAAGACCTAATCATCTTCTTAAATTTCTTTAGGTTGTAGTCAATGCTTTTTATCAAATGTTTTTTTATTTTATTATTTTGTTTCTTTCAATTTCTCTATTGCTAATTCAAAATGATCAAGTCTTCTTTCCAATTTTTAAATATATATATATATATATATATATATATATATATTTAAAATATACGTAATTAAATCATTAATGATTTTATTCTTGTTAAATAAAATTTTATAAAAATAATTATTTTAAATATTTTAAATAAAAGTATAAAATAGCTAGAATTTTTTTTAAATGTTCAAAAGAATTATATTCTTTAAAGATAAGCTGAAATTAAAAGACAAAATGAGCTTTTAAAATTTAGATTAAAAAAAATTATTACATCCAAATATTAGAATAATAAATATATTATTAGAAATAATTTAACATATATGAATCATAATAAAAATTAACATTAAGTTTTATATTTAATATATTAGAGTATAAAATAATTAATAATGATAGAAGTGATTTAATCAAAATACTAACATATTTATAGATTTTTCAAAATACCTTAAGAATAAGGCACAAAGTGAATAAATGCTAATTATTCTAATTATCTATAATGAAAAATAAAAATAATCTTTTAAAATCTACTATCTTATATATTACAAAAAAAAATTGAATTACAAGTACTATATATATTTTTTCAAAATAAATTATTAATTATTCCAAAAAAATATTTATTATATTAGTAATAAATATAAAATATTTAATAATAATAAAATAGATATTATCTTATAAGTTATTAATATTAAATATAAAACTTATAAATATATATATATATATATATATATATATATATATTAAACCTTATAATTAGAAAGAGTAAAAAAAAGTATAAATATAATTGAAAGTGCTATCAATCTTTTTTTTTGTATATACAATATAAAATATTCAAAATTATAAAAAAACTTATTCATAAAATTTATGTTATAATTTTATTTAAATATAGATATAAGTGACATTATTAAATCAATACAAAATAGATAAAATATGCATGTCTTAAAATCATGAATGTTTAATAAAAACATATTTTAAATATTATTTCTTATAAATAGGTATCAGATGGTAGATAGGAGTCTTGGACATACATATAAACTCTAAGAATTACCTAGATTATATGCATAGGTAGAAATATGTAAAAGTATGTAAATTTAATAATTTCTTGTAATAAGCTTCTTAAAAGCTTAATAGATACGGATTTGCCTTTAGATGTATATGTAGGTGATAGGTAGTTTGAAAACTTGATCAATCCATTGGCCACTTGTGGTACAAGTTGGACATATGTTGTATATTAAAGAAACTTGCCTTGCAAATTAGATACATGTACTAAAAGTTTGACAAGTAGTAGAAGGTGTTGAAAAAATTGTTACATAGCTCTTAGTTAGATAGTATATAGAGTTTATTAGCTTAAATTGTGTTTTATATAATATATTTCAAAATTATAAAAATTTAGTTAAAATTATTAATATACAAAGAATAAAATAAATTCAAGTATTAAAAATACTATATATATATATATATATGTGTGTGTGTGTGTGTGTGTGTGTGTGTGTGTGTATGTGTGTATGTGTGTATTTTTAAGATTTTTTTAATATTATGTACAATACTTTAAAAAACATATATAAAATTATTTTTTAATGTGAATCATATTAAAATTTTAGTAATACAAATAAATATTTAGATAAGTAAAAGAAAATACTCAAATATAAATGAGCCAAAAAAAACTAAGATTTTTATATGTAATATATATAT